TTTCATTAAACTATACACTTATGTAAGACCAGATAGAGATGTATTTCAGTGTCATTTAAAAGCTAATGAATTCAAATAAATCAAAGCAATCAATAGATAAACTAAAGTTAAAGCTACTTGGCAAGGTCATAGACATTTCTAGGATCAGCTTTATTTTTGCAATGAGTCTCTGAGGAAATGTTACCTCCTTAGGGTGCCTTGTGTATCTAAGACAGAAATATATGCCCCCCTATACACATTCTCTATCCTTTTACCTGGTGTTTTTTGTTTTATTTTCTCTATGGCAATTTATCTTCATCTGACACACCATTTTACTTGTTAATAGATTCTAGGCCTGTGTTTCCAAACTTCGTCTGATTTATTCACTGATATGTATCCAATTCCTCAAACAGTGGCTGGCATGCAGTGGCTCTTAATTAAATGTTAAATCAAAATGCATTCAAAGAATCTAGAAGTTGCCTAACACTCAGGATGTTCAATGATCCGAGTCATCAGTGATGCAGAAACACATTAATTATAAGACATCTACAAGTGAGTAACTTTTTTGAGATTTTTTTTTTTTAACCAGCCCTTTCCTCTTTTAACATGGTAATTAAAATTCACTGACCTGGAAGTAGCCTCAATCTATCAAACTTTGGTCAGAGAAGAGGATTCAGAGACAATAATACAATTATCAGCAGCAAAAGGAGGTGGGGGGGGGGGAACAAAGCGAAAAATTAAGCGGTAGCCTCAATTGGGCATTCCCGGGCTAGATGTTCGGATTCGCCACAGGGGAAGCAGTTGACCTCACTCGTCTGTCTACAGTTGATGGCCACGTGACCAATCTCGCCACAATGATAGCACTTGACTTGGGTGCAGTCTTTTTGAATGTGGCCACTTTCACCGCAAGAGTAGCACTTCTGCTCTTCCTGACGGTCACAATCACGAGCCAGATGGCCTGGTCTGCCACAGGTGTAACAGCAATGCTCGCTCTCTCGCTTAGGCTCGGCACAGTCTTTGGCAATGTGGCCACTTTTCCCACAGTTATAGCAGATGTCATCGAGAAGGTCACAGTCCTTAGCATGATGACCAGACTCACCACAGCGGTAACAGATGACAGGTAGCGTGGTTGAACTGCACTGATTTCCACGGCCACGGCCTCTAGCTTCACGCGCCCGAGCTCCTCCTCCTTCAGAGCATCCCCAGGCCCAGTGGCCAATGTGTCCACACTTAAAGCACTCCTTACTGCTCATGGCTGTGGTGGGATCTGCAAGTGAGCGGGTCCACTGCTGCCCCAGAGGCCCCAACACAACTCCCCTTATGGCACCTTAGACAGAACTGGCAGTTTTTCTCTAGGGGCCTCAGCGACGTCACACAGGCTTGCGCACAGTCCCATTCTTGTGTCACAGGCTTTCCAGCAGCCCCTCCCACCTGACTTTCCTCCTGTCGTTGAAGCCCAAAGCACGGCTGAGTGGTGGTTTTAGCTTTTGTTTACTTTTCAATTAAATAAACGTTTCTTGTGTCTTGAAGTTTGAATTTGAATCCCTTCTTGTTCAGAAAATGTGCCCTGTAGGATTTCATATAATTAAGTCTTAGGTCCGCTTTGTGGTCTAGTAGATGACCAGTTTTTATACATGTGCTATAGACATAGTCTGGAGAAGGAAATGGCAACCCACTCCAGTACTCTTGCCTGGAAAATCCCATGGAGGAAGGAGCCTGGTGGGCTGCAGTTCATGGGGTCGCTAAGAGTCTGACACGACTGAACGACTTCGCTTTCACTTTTCACTTTCACGCATTGGAGAAGGAAATGGCAACCCACTCCAGTGTTCTTGCCTGGAGAACCCCAGGGACGGGGAAGCCTGGTGAGCTGCCGTCTATGGGGTCGCACAGAGTCGGACACGACTGAAGTGACTTAGCAGCAGCAGCAGCATAGACATAGGAAAATATGTATGAGATGTATCTAATCCAGAAACAAATTATGACAAATTAGAGTAATTCATTTGGGGGGTTAAAAATGAAATACAAATATCAATAAAGATATGATATACATAAAATGGAAAATATCTGTAAAATGCCACAGGAAGATTTACTCACAATTTAGCCTATTGCAAGAATCTTAGTTTTCAAGATCATCATAACCATTTAAGGTGCAAAACATAAATGATTGAATCACTCAGTATGAAGAACATGATATTCCTTGGAAAATAAATTACAAAACCTTAGTTTAAATACTGGGCAGCATTCCTCTGTTTCCTAAGTTGTTTATATAATACATAAAACTCATAAGGATTTATGGATATGTCCATTTATATAGATATAGAAACAAGTTTGGAAAGCTAGACACTGAAATATAAGCTCTAGCTATTTTGGAGCTATATGATTGAATAAGACTTTTTCCTCCGTATTTTCCTTCTCTAAATTTTACAATTTTTGAAATAAGGTTTAGGTTGTGTAATTTAAAAAATCCACAATAAATTTTTCTTTAAGTAACTAGTTAGCTATGTTTTGCATGTGAATTTTTTTCAGGAAGCCAGTACAAATGTATTTGGTAAAACATAGACATAAGAATAGTGAATGTAGCAACTGTGCTTTAATTTCAATATGACTTGATTGGAATGTGCAACTGGTTTCATAAATGCAACCACAAAGAAAAATATTTTCAAAAATTAAAAAAGTTATAAAGAGCATGTGCACATGCCAAATATAGAGTAATGTAATGAGCTTTATTCTTAAATAATTAAATGGTGCTTCATAAATTGTTTCAAATGGCAAAAATTCTGTTTTAAAATTTTATATATGTTCATTAAATAAACCATATTAATTATCATATTTAAATCCCTTTATAGGTTTATATTTTTATTAAAGTAATGCATGCCCATAGTTTATAGATTTTCAAACAGGTTTAATTGAGACATGAAGGAATGAAGGAAGAAATGCATTTTACATCACAATAGAGGGTATGTGTGTATGTGAGTGTGTGCTATAACTCAAGTAAGTTTAAGAAAAAAATAATTACCCTTAATGTCTACCATGCACTTTTAAAATTATGTTGGCCATAATAGCTATACATAGGCTTATGGCTATACAAGCCCATGGAGGGCTTCCCAGGTGGCTCAGTGGTAAAGAATCTGCCAGCTAATGCAGGAGATGCAGGTTCAGTTCCTGGATTGGGAAGATCCCCTGGAGAAGGAAATGGCACCCCACTCCAGTATTCTTGCCTGGGAAATTCCATGGACAGAGGAGCCTGGCGGGCTATAGCAAAAGTCAGACACGACTTAGTGACTGAACAACAACATGTATATATATGTCGCTGTGCCACACAGCTTGTGAAACCTTAGTTACCTAACCAAGGATTGAACTTGGGCCCTCCACAGTGAGAGCATGCAGTCCTGACCACTGGACTACCAATTCCCTGCAATGCACTTTTTTTTTCTTTCTGGCTGCACTGTGCAGCATGTGGGATTTTAGTTCCCTGATCAGAGTTCTAACATGAGTCCTTTACATTGGAAGCATGAAGTCTTAACCACTGTACTGCCAGGGAAGTCCTCTTGCAGTGCACTTTGATGTTTTCTGTCCTGTTGTAAAAAATGGTGGTGGTGACCCATTAATCTTTCAATTCATTAAATGATTTTAACTCATAGTCTGGTTCATAACTATAAATAATGCTTATATTATGACTTCTTGATGTTTCAATTTTAGACATTATCTATGATTTTCCATTTCAGAGAATAAACATTTAGCTCTCTTTTACCTACATCATCTTGTGGTACACTTTATGCTCTAGCACTCCACTTGCCCTCCCCCACTTTCACCTTTCTCCTAATACTGATTTGGTCAATATCCAACATTTACATAATGATAACTACGTAAATACGACTAGTGGCTCAGCCATATTGAATTTTGTCAAATGCTTTTTCTACATCTCTTGAGTTTGCCTTGACTTCTTACATTTGCTAGAACCACCATTACATTGCTGAACATAAGTTGTGAAAGCGCACATCTTATCTTGTTCCTGACCTTAAGGGGAAAGCTTTAGTCTCAACATTCTTAACAATTAGAGAGGATGATGATGTACACATTTTACAGGTCTCAGAATTTATGGAATTGGGGGGGACCTTAGATTTTTGTATTTCCAAACTGGCTTTCTTAGAAAGCAAGAAGAACCAGCTACCAAAGTAAAACATCATAATGGGAAACAAAACATTATTTTGTATTTTCTGCTTCTCAAATTCAAGGAGGAGTCTATTTCAGAGTCTATTCAATACATTTCTCTCAAAATTACTATGTGAACTTCTCACAGAAGACAAGCCTTGCATTTAACATTGAAGGACACTGAACTGTATTTTTAATGTCCAGACAATACCGGGGTTATGAAGAGAAAGAAAAAGGTGTTGCATACTCCTTCTTACGCCCAAACTAATTGAACACCCTTTCCCTTTATGCTCTGTGCATAAGGTCTTTGGGTTCCCTGCCTCTGAGTCTCCTCTGTTGGTTCTTCATCAACCAAGCATTGTTTGCCCAAAACTAGTTAGTTGAGAGCTCTTTTGGAGCAGTTTGAGAGCTGCTTTGGAGAAGACTGTGAGGGTATAATATCTTTTAAACAGTATTTTTTGCCTTTTTTTTTTTTTTTTTTTTACAGTTTGCAACATCAGACACGCAAGGGGAGGAGTACGAGGACCAATAGGGCTGCAGATCAGGCAAGGCCAAGAATACAAGAATAGGCCTCTAAGGATAACCGAACAAAGGCAGCCAAGGGGGAGAACGGCATTGAAATGGTGGGCTAAGAACAAGAGAAGGATAGACGAGGAAAGGGACTGAGGGAAAGGTGGCGGAGGCCGGTGTGACCAATGGGGAGAAAATGTTGAAGAAGCAGGATGAGTTTCGGACCTGGGTAAGGGTGAAAGGGTGAAGACCGCCGAGAAGTTTGCCTTGGAGAGAGCTAGGCTTGAGTGGGGGCGGGGGTGGGGAGAAGAGGGCGTGCTCGGCGCATGCGCCTGAAGCACACTGCAGCTATCCTGGAGAGGCGGCCCTCTCCGGATATCAGCGTTGCTGCTGGAGGCAGGGCTGGTCCTCTACCTGCTGTCCACTGCCACCTTGGCCTGCTCTTGCGCTGCGAACTCTGTGCCGCCGCTCCCTTCACCATATTTTGGGACGGCCGGCGCTAAGAATTTATGCTATGACCTTCGATTCAGCCAGGAGGTAAAGGAACGACACAGGGGAAGAACATGGGAGGGTGGAGGAGGGAACTCGGGCCAGGGGGATCCTTAATTTGTGTGTTCTCCCCGTTCACGAGAGGAAAAAATGGGGGACAGTACGGGCCTCATACCTACAAAAGGATGTTGACCATTTAGTTCCCATCGTGAAAGTAATACAGACTTCTTTCCTTTAATCAAGGTTGAGGCACCTGAGCGTCGGCATTTTCCATAATGTTCCCTGCATTAAAATTTTTTGGATTTCCTCACATGCAGTAGAAGATGTATTTAAAGGTCGGGGCTGTAGGACTAGGCGATTATAAGAGCTTTCTTTGCCTTTGTTCAGGGTGGTAGGTCTTATTACGGAAACCGAGGGTACTCTAAGCCCCTCCCTGGGAGTCAGGGCGGATTCTATCTAGAGCTGGCATCTGCTGTGAGCACCTGCAAGCTTTGACGTCTTTCCCGTATTCCACTGCCCTAGTTTATCACACCTACCCCTGTTAAGGAAGGCTGGTAGTGGCTCTCCTTTATTGAGCACTGGGTCACAATTGTAGGGAGAAGCACATCTAGATATCATCAGACACTTATATAAAAAACGGAGGTCGGGGGACAGACGCGGTGCGCAAATATACTTGAGAGTGTGAGGATGCACGGCGCGGTAGCACGCAGGTATACAGTCGTGTTTTGGTAACCGTGGGAGATTGGTTCCAGGACCCCCGCGAAGACTAAATTCCGCGGATGCTCAAGTCTCCTATATAGAATGGCTTAGTACAGTTAGTCCTTTATATCCGCGGAGAGTCCACTGTCTTTCTGGTCTGATGTGCAGGGGGGCGGGAACGCTCCGCTGGGGAGAGCCGGAGAAACGCATGCGCAAGGCTTGGGGCGCGGAGTGGGTATGGAATGCGTATTTAAGAAAGAAAAGTTGTTGGTAGTTGATACTCGCGGGAGTGAAGCTGCGCATGCGCATTTGAGACGACTTTGTGAAGGTTGGGTTTAACGCGAGGGGGAGAGGCGCGCATGCGTATTTCAAGCGAAATGACGAGAGGAGGCGCGCAGCGTACGCGTAATTAAGATTGCAAAATGGCGAGGGGGGAGGTAAGTTGTCTTTTTGCTTGGCCATCTTGGTCTAGGAGGGCCTGCAGAGGAGCAGATCGACCTTTCTAGTTGGGTGAGGGGATCAGCCTGAGTCGGAGCTGTCCTAGGCTGTCGCTAGATCCACTAGATACTGACTCAGAATCTTAGCCCCTCTCTGGCCTATGAATAATGCGGGTTTAAAAATGCGGAGGCGATGATGATTTTACAAAAGGTCGCAGCAGCTGGCTGTGTGTAAGAAATGCGTAAAACGCGAGCACTTCGCGACAAAGCCACGTTCGGGCAGTACGCCTCTGGAGGGCTCTCTGTTGGACTTGGAGATCGTGGGTCGGTGTCCTTGGCTCTGGACACCTTCTCTCATTCCATCAGAGTAGCAGAACTCAGTGGTTGCAATACTGTGAGAATCTACAGTTGGTCAGAAGCCCTTGATTTTCTCCCCTTGAGGTTGTAGGGGTGAGGACTGTTTCCAAGTCCTTGTTCCACTTTGCTTTAAACCTGGGATCTAGGCGAATGGTGACGGTAGTATATAGGTGACCTGGGTTTTGCACCCTTTCTTCTAAATTATTCTTTTTTTCTGTAGAACTTTGAGCACGATTTTATCTAGGGGGACGATTTTTTTTTTTTTTTTTAAAGGCAGCAGCACTGTCATGGCTCTCAGAAGGCTGTCAGTAAAGATCTATTGTTAATCGCTATAACTAGTAATGTAGCAGTTAAATATGTAGAAGGCACAGGATTCAAAATTGAAACAGGCCTTTTCAGTAATTCTGTGATCTAATACTGGTCTTTCTCCTTCTCTGGGCCTGTTTGCCTAACTAGAATAATAATTAAGCTTAAACGTATTTGGAGCTTAAACTATGTGTCAGGTACTGGGTCTACATGCTTTTACACATGCCTTAACTAATTTAGTACTCTCCACAGTCTTATGAAATAGCAGTACCATTATTCATCTTTTACAAATGAGAAATTTGAGGGATACAGATAAAGTAAATCCAAGGCTTTATATCCTTTTGAGTGACTGAGATTGGGATTTTTATCCAGGTAGTATGGCTTCAGAATTCTGTATTCTTAAACATTATATTTATCCACCAAAACGATGGGGCAAATTTAAAGGACCCTCCAGTTACGATTTCAAATTTTATTCATAACTTAACCTATGCTATTTAAGAAAGGAGACCTATTTGCTAATTTTTACTCAGTGCATTGTATAAGGTTACATATGTAGAAGACAAGAAGTAAAGTATTGATCTGGAGCCTAATGGGGTGGTCATCCTTACCTACTCTTGTCTTCTATGCTTTTTGTTCTGCAGAGGGTTTAAAATGGCCGACTGCGGCAGGCTGGACACACCCTTCTTGTTTTGCCAGATTTGAGATCTGGTCTGATGCTTTGAGACAACCAGTCATTTGCTGCAGTAGAGATTTTTTCCTTACCCATTATTAATATTTTGGTGTTTGATAGCAATGTTAATTGTAAAGGAAAGAAAATTGTAATTTTCTTTCTTATAATAAAAGACAGAAAATACATGGGTTTCATTTATTATTTGGTTGGGATAGATTCATTTGAAGTGAAATTACTATGTCAAAGGGTATGAACATTTTTAACACTTAATATGTATTGCCAAGTTTCTTTCTGAAAAGATTGTACCAATTTACACAAACATTGAGTAGTCAAAAACGTTATTTTAATGGATTAAAAAACCCTATTACTTTAATTTTGCATTTCTTTGGTTGTAAGTTTGGATTCTTTTTTCCTCCATATGTTTCTTAGTAGCTTGATTTTTCTTTCATGTGATGTTAGTTCATGTCTTAAACGATTTATCAGTTGGAGTTTTAGTTTAATTATTGTTATTATCTATTTGAATGTGTTCTATAAATAAAGGCTATTACTCAAATTTCTGTAATTTATAAATATGTACTCCAGGTTATTGTTTGCCTTTTAATTTTTGTATTTAAATTTTTCGTTAGTAGAAATTTGAAATCATGTGGTCAAATCAGTCTACTGTTTTGTGGTTTTTCTTCCATTAAGTTTGAATAGTTCCATCAGTCTAGAAATGTGGTAAATATTCATTGTAGCTTCGTTTGAGGGGAAAAGATCCGTAATTTCACCACACAGAGATAACCAGTGTTAATAAATGTATTCAATTCTTTTCATTCTTTCTGAATTTTTCTACAGGGATCATATATTTATACTATTTTATGTCATGTTTTGTGTTTATAACATGCATTTTTCCATGTTAAATATTTTTGTAATTGTCATTGAATGGTTTCATGATATTTTATTGTGTGGAAGTACTTAAGATTTTCAGTATTTTAAGTTAATGATTAATGTCTTTTCATTTAGTTTTTATTGTTTCTCTCTTTTGAGTTATTCTTTATATTATAGAGTTAAGAATTAGAATTAATCATCAAAAACTTTGACCATTTTAAAGACCTGCCATAATAGCATTCCAAAACATTATGTCAATTTTTGTACCCATTTAGTTACATTAGGAAATGGCAAAGCACTCCATTGAATCCTATGGACAGAGCAGCCTGGCAGGGTACAGTCCCTAGGGTCTCAAAGAGTCAGACACGACTGAAGCAACTTAGCAGCAGTTACATAATTTTTTTTTTTTTGCTAATTTTATATGTATAAAAATAGTATCTTTGATTTATGGTACATTTCTCTGATTATTGGTGAAGCTGGATTCTCAAATGCTAATTATTAGCTACTATTTCCTTTTGTGAACTATTCGACTTGGGTCTGAATGCTATATATTTGTAAGAGCCCTATATTATGTGCTCTGCGTAAAGAATCTATTACTCCTTGTCATTTGTTGGACATACACACCTGGTATGTGTTTGTTGCCATTGAGAATGAAGAAATAAGACAACTACTGCATGGAATACATGTGAAATTCTTGGTAGCCATTTTGAGATAACATTTATCTGTTTTTTAAATAGCTATTTCTTTTTATCTGAAAGGAAAGCACTGATTGCTGCACAGCAGTGATGCTCCCTGGTTATGGGTGTGGGGAGAAGACATGGCAACGTTTTGCCTCTAATAAGACATGGCAACCAACGTAGATAAGACACAAAATGGTAGCCTAGCCACCCTTCCAGCATCCATTGGGGGACTGATGTTATTATAAGTGATCTGGGGGAAGGTATGTACAAGGTGCAGTGTTCACATTTGTAGATGACATGAAACTCTTTGGAGATGTAATGTGGTAAGAGGAACAAACTGCAACACCTGAGAAGACATTATGCATGTGGGCTGACAACTGGTAGAATGAAATAGGGAAGATAAGAGCAATGTAATGACTTTAGGGGAAAGTGGTATGTTAAGCTTAGAAAATAGTGGCCTCAGAGACCCTGGGTCCCAAGACAGGGATCTCAGTGTAAATGGAAACAGTTTATTGATGTCATCAGCTCAGGTTGCTGGTGCAGAGACAAAAGAGCCATTAAAAACCTAGGCCTTATTAAGAACTGTGACACTCAAAAATTCCATCCTATCTTTGTATAAAACTATGTGAACCAAATGACTAGTTAACACTAGTAATCTCTCCTCAAGGAGTCTCTTACTACCTCACTGAATTTTGAGAAGGTGTTGGGAAGAGTGTGTTACTTCTTTTTGATTTTTCTTATTTCAAATACAGAAGTGATTTAGATTATATATTCTCAAAGATCTTGGAGAGTGGTAAGGTATTTTATTTTGGTTTCCTGAAACTGTATCTGTTATTTATGGTTCAGAATCTATTTAATTATATTTATTAATTAGACCGTTCTAAATTATTATTCCCACTCCATGAGCTATATACTATCTCTTTTATATTTAGTCACATTCTAATTTTTATTTTTTCAGTTAAGGGGGATTATTGGATATAGAGGTGTCAAGTGAACTGTTCCTGCTTTTCGTTATCTAATTATATGGAATTA